ACTGACATGTTAAAAGTCAGTCTACCACAGTTTCAGGTATGTTGGCAGAAGACACGAAATCCAGGGTCAGAGACAAAGACCTCATGGTACAGCAAGCAGTGTGAGCTTCATGTTCACATTGCTTTCCCTGGCCTTCCAGCTCCCAAGGGGAGACACCAAGGTGGGACCAGGTGGACGCTATGCACACGGTTGTTTTGTGTCACAGCTGAGGAACCCAGGCTTCAGGAACCCAGCCTTTTATAATGGACTAAAAGAAAACCTGCCTGACATCTGCCCTACAGGGAAATATAATCTGTTTTGAAAGCAAACAAACCTGCCCTCTGCTCTGGAGGGAGACACTATGTCTTTCAAGGCTGTCCACTAAAAACATCCTTACAAATATAGTTTAAAACGAAGGCCATCAACTCCTGAAGTCACAAAATAAGCAGAAATTGAGAAACCCATAGAGAATAGCCACTAAATAAGTTTGTGCTAGCCATCGGGGAATCGCCTTACACAGAGGTGTAACAGAGATCATAAATTCACCCAGTGCTAATTTTACTCAGTAGCATCTCCAAACTCTTCTGAGGAAATTAAGTCAATACAATACAGGTAAATGTTGATGCTGAAAATTGAGAGCAGCAAGCATTCAGCACCCACTGAATGACCAACATTGTTGGAAACATGAAATACAAGGTACAACCCATACCTTTCGTTTTACCCAAAGATATGTAGCTCACACAGAGCCCACAGGACTGCATACAACCCACTCAGCTCCTCAATACTGTCTGTGATTTGGTTTCACAGACAGTGAAAGATTAGAAATTTGTCTCTGAATTGCTACTTCTCAGACATGCTCATATATTACCATTCTTGTGGCTAAAAAGCATTAACAATTTTCTCTGTGATAATTCTTTTGCTCAGTAAAATAGGTATTATAAATTATAAGAAAGCACATTTTTCTATGTAACTCAAAAAGTAAAAGCTATTTTCCTTTTCAAAAAGCCCCCCACAAACTTAAAAGATATTTTTCCTCAGTTTGATCACATAGACCAAAAATTTAAAAACAAATGAAAATCCCAGCTACTTACTGCTAATCACATGTAAGTAGAATGGATGATTCTATGAACTCGAAAATTCTAAGTGAACTGTCAACCTCACACAATTCAATGACATACCAAATTTCCCTGAAACTTATTTAAAATGAAAGATAACTTCTTTCAAATGAGCATGTTGGCTTCCATTTTGTTATAGGAAGACTAACTGGAATATAAACCAGTTCTATGACATATTCATATAACTTTCATTCTTTAGTGTCAGACATTTCATAAAAATCTCTCAGCTCCTTTGAAAGTTACCTTGAAGCAAATGAAAAAGTAATGGTGGACTGGAACCTACATTTCTTTCTTTTAATACATCAGCGATGTTCACAAAGACCTGGCCTTAAAAAAAAAAAAAAAAAAAAAAGAACCATTTAACACATGCCTTCTCGGCAGGGACAGTAGCACCCCTAAGGGAATGAATATTTTTTCTTGGGGAGGTGGGCAGAGAAAAATCTTAGATATTACAAGGTTTGTAGCCCTCCGAAGAGCCACAATGCATAAACAGATATGTAGTATATCTGTGGTATATTAAATTTTAATGATGGGAGATTAGGAATGTTGTATCTTTTAATTAGGAATTAAAAGATACAACAAATGGTTCCATGGGGGGAGGGGATGATAATGAAAAAAAAAGTTCAGAAACAATGGCCTAACATAATATTTTGATCAGTGTTGTCTGATGGCAACCACTAAATTAAGCAAAAGGATTTATTTTTTTAATTTCTGTCATACTTGTTTTCCATATTTTTTATCTGTATACAATATGATAGCATTAAATAATTTTATTGAAATGGTATCCATGATGTCATTATGTTATAATTTTTTTCAGTTTTGCGTATTACCTGTAAAATCATAAATGCATACTGTTTTGTATTCTGTTGTTTTCACTTATACATATATTCATCTTTCTACATGATCTTTATAATGACTACTTTTATAAGGACACTTCAATTCAGTTGTACTGTGGCTCTCTTCTGGTTGTGCTTCTATAACTCTAAAAATTCTTTCCATGTCTTCTTTGCAATTCTGCTTCTCCTGACTTCTTATTAAAAATTGGGGTCCTCAGGAATTGTATGCTATGCCCCCTCCTCGTTTCATACACTGTCTCAGGGTAATCTCATCCATCTTCCACCAGCACTCATATCTTTCAGTTCCAGCCCGGACTTCACTCCTGGGTTCCAGGCTCATATTTCCAACTTGTTACTGGATATCTCTACTGAGCTATTCCTTAAAAAATAATCTCAAAAAATCATCACATTTTCTCAACCCGTTTATCCCTGGTCATCTAGATTCCTTCCCTTCCTTCCCCTTGACCTCAGCAGCCCAGCTAGGTCCTATTGACAGTATTAATACCTTCACAATATCCACCCTCTCCATTCAACTCTGCTGTCCCCTTTGTTCAGTTCTTTCTCTCCTACTGAGACAATTAGCCTATACTCCTAAACATCTTCCTGCCTCCTGTCGCGCCATCTTGTCTTCCACCACAGTGCTGTTTGACAAGTCTTTCTAAAGCATATATCTGATTAAGGCACCTCCAATGGCTTATGGCTACATTGCAGTATACAGTAACCGGAGCCACATATAGCTATTGAGCACTTGAAATGTAGCTAATCTGGAGTAAAATGTGCTGAAATAAACACATTAGATTTTCAATACTTAGTCTTAGAAAATGAATGTAAAATATATAATTATTGTATATACTGAGTTAAATATTTACATAATATATTCAGATTAATTTCACCTGCTTTTTTAAAATATGGCTACTAGAAAAATTAAAACTATTTACATGGCTCACATTTGTGGCATGCATTATATATAACTATTGCACAGTGCTGGTTTATAGGATAATGCCCACACTAGATCATAAGATTATGATGTTTCATCATCTGGCCACCATAGGCGTAGTCCAGTGGTCGGCAAACTGGCCCCTTGAGTGTGGCTCTTCCACAAAATACCACGTGCAGGCGCGCAAGTACAGTGCGATTGAAACTTCGTGGCCAAAGAGCTGCATGTGGCTCACAAGCCATGGTTTGCCGACCACTGGCCTAGTCCATTCATCTCCTGCTGGCTGTCATGCAAAGAGGGCTGGCCTTGGTGGCAGGTGGATCTGGGTTCATTCCTAGACCCTTTCGCATGCCGGCAGTGTGATTTGGAGCAAGAAACTTAAACTCTCCAAGTTTTAGTATCCCCAGCTGCAAAACAGAGAATACCTATTTCACAGTGTTGTTGGGCAGATTAAAAGATACAACAAATGTCAAGTGCCTCCTGCATAAAATTTTTTTTTATAATTTTTTAAAATATATTTTATTGATTTTTCACAGAGAGGGAGAGAGATAGAAAGTTAGAAACATCGATGAGAGAGAAACATCGATCAGCTGCCTCTTGCACATCTCCCACTGGGGATGTGCCTGCAACCCAGGTACATGCCCTTGACCGGAATGGAACCCGGGACCTTTCAGTCCGCAGGCCGACACTCTATCCACTGAGCCAAACCGGTTTCGGCCCTCCTGCATAAAATTTAATTTTCCTAGATGCATTCCAGTCATACCCAACTATTCTCAGTTCCTCTTTTTTTTTTTTTTTTTCTATTGTAAAGAGCAGGTGTTTGTTTAAATATCTGCAGCCTTCCTAAAAGTGCACAATCCCCTTTTCCTCTTTGGTCACTAGGGCTCTCCTTTCCTTTTATTTTTCCTGTTTTCACCATATATTAGACCTGAGGACCTCTGTCTCCCTTTTTGTTTTCCATTCAATATCCTCTATTAGAGAATTCATTTTAGAATTAATGATCATAAAAGAAGTCTCAAGTCAAAGGAACAGCATATTCATGAAGATTTTAGCTTGTTCTTGCCCCATAAGAGAATATTTTCTTTCTGTCATCTGATACCCCTAGCCAATTCTTTCAACAAGTCAGACTTAAATTTAACTTGGGAATAGCATTAGAAACAATTTCTTCTTCCTCATTCCTCACTTTTACTTCTCTTAACCCTCCTACCAGTGCCCTCTACCCCAGACCCACACATTTAGCTGCCACGTACATTAACTATCTTGTGAGGGTCCTTTTCATTGCCTGTGCATTAGCCACAGTGCAGAAGAGAGTTTCTGGCAATTGACACCTTGAGACAAATGCTCTAACAAATCTTAAAGTGTTTTTGATGGCCAGAGTTGTCAAAGGTGGAATGTTCTACATACATTGCCATTAGGAATTTCCAGAAACATTTTTTGAGTACTCGCCCATGGATTCTTAACAGTTCTTTCCCATAGGAAAAGCTTTGAAACAGCAGCATTCTAAAAGGGATGAGGAGAATCTGGCTAATGTTTCTCAAATGTAAAATGTGGCCTTTCAGATGATGTGGTCACCTTTTTTCTTCTTCTTCTTTAACACTGTCAGCATTTTGAAATGGGGAAAGGATATGGATTAGGTAGGAATTGAATGCAAATGTGTTTTGCAAATAGTGTCTTTTGAGATAATCGCAGATGATGCTTGAATGCTGAAGGTATTAATACAATCAGTATTTAACCTTGTGTAACTCCGCTTCATCAAATCACACCCTGTGCATTGATTGCATTAAGCCGGGTCAGTGGTTTCTTGCTTAGGAATATCTTATAAGAATCTTAACAGCAAGGCAGCAGTAGCTGATCAGCTGCTGTTTATTTGCATACTGAGCGTATCATCAATAATACAAAAGACAAGGTCTTTAAGTTGAAAGAACAGTGGGATTGGCATGAATTTTGCTTAATGGTGCGTAATAAGCAAAGTAGTCAGTGGTGCCAGAAACTGACAGGATCCATTATGTTAAAACAGATATATGTCTTTAATTTAGGGGTATTATGTAAATCTGACAGGAGTTTTTCCCTTTATTTTCCTGTAGTTTAACTTTAATTGCTCCAAGATTAATTCCGATTTCTCCTTCCCTCCAGAGGGTGATGAGACTGGTGTGATGGATAATCTTCTAGAAGCCCTACAATCAGGCGCAGCATTCCGAGACCGCAGGAAGCGGATTCCCAGGAACCCAGGTGAGACCCCTCCGAGCGCACTGGGATTGTCAAATATAAATGTTCAGAGCCAAGGACCCTCCCCCGACAAAATAAATAAATAAATAAATAACAACAACAAACAACAAACAGAAAAACTTGGCCCTGGAAGATGTTTTTTAGCACTTGATCTCAGTTCTTCAAGTGTGAAGTCTCAGCAGGTTTTTCCATCTCCATGATTGCAAGTTTCAACCTGGTAAAAGTATCTTCAAATAACTGTAGACTTTGCAAAAAAACATTCTGAAACAAGAACTCCCACTGTGTTTAATATTAAATATTTTAATTGTTATTTTCTGAGCGCGTGGTTTGGGTGGAAGGTGTGCTTTAAAACCATAAATGTAATTAAATCATTAAAAGTAATTGGCCCTGTGGATGGCACATTAGCTATTTAAAGGTAAGGAAACAGAGATAATGTTTCTTTCTAGAGGCTGCTGTGGCTTTGCAGTACAATCTATTCTCCATGTTAGCAAAGAGAAGAGAGACACAGATGATCTAAGATCCCTGAAAGTTCCAAGCATTGAAACCCATGTTGTTTGTGTGTGTTAGTAACAAAGCCACACAAAGAAAGTTGATCTCAGGGGAATTAGAAACATGAAAACAACCTCCCTCACTTAAGTGTAACTAGAGAGTTGTCTACCTCCTCTGTTTACACCCTGTGGATGAGGTAAATAGGAGTTGCACTCAGTATAATCCAAATAGGCCGAGCTGGCCATCTCCTCTAAGTAAGTTCTTATATTTTTTTAGTTCATATCTTTCTTAAAGTAGAGAAGAAATTAAGTGTGCTAATTTGAAATGTCCTCTTCATAGACTATAAAAGCTATATAGAGAAGTAAATAAAAAGGAAAATTAATAGTAAATATGTAAACTCTACTTCATTTAGTGTTATAAGATTTGCCTTGAATAGCCTGCAGTTCAAAAAATATTCTGAATCTGGACTGGAAACTACCATATATCATTAGAATGCAAATTGGTGTCTCTCAAAACCATTGTAGTCCAACAAACCAGTGAAAGAAGTGGAGCCCAGTGCAGAGATATTCTGATAGCTTTTGGCAATGGCAGCAGACAGTATGAGTTATATTCATCTTTTTGAAGGTAAGATATGGTTGAGAGGAGAGAAGTGTTTTGGTTGGATTATAAGACTACTTTGTGTGTCTGACGGCATTGAAGATGGGCTACAAAAAGAGGGGAAGCTTGGAGGAAAGAAAATGAAAGTCCTTATTTATATGCTCATATTAACTTCTTAAGGTAATGCTCCATGGCACAATGTTAGGAGCACTACTGCTCTGTAATTATGAGGTGGCCATTCCATTTGCCTCAGTCTTTGTCTGTGAAATAAGAATGTTCTAGAATGCTATCGGGCCCCTTTCATATCTTAAGAAAACAGAAACCTTCACTGTTTTTTCTTGAACTGCCAGAACATTAATAGTCAGTGGAAAGCAAACTGAAATAATTTGTACATCAATTCAGTTCTCTGTTAAGCAGCTGGTAAGTAAAAGTTATTCTGTGCCTTAAAAGAACTGCCTTCGTCTCTCCAGTCTGTTTATTTTAAAAAATACATTTTCTGAGGCCCCTGTCTGATTAGTCTCACACCTCAAACTGACTCTAGAAAGACTACTGGGAGAGTGCGATCATTCTATGGGGTTTCTGTGAGTTTGGCACTCAAGGGAATATAGTGTTGTCAACTGTGAAACACCAAGAATATATTCAGAAATGGCATAAATTTATAGTACTGTTTCCAAGTAATCTAAATTGGGCTCTCCACTGGTTTGTAGCTGGAGTGCCTCCATGAGCACAGAGGGTCAAAAATATCAGCCTATTTAGCCCTGGCAGTCGTTCTAAGTGGCAGCAGCCAATGCAAATGTCCAGCGGTAAAAAGAAACTAGAAGGAAGGCAGCGGCAATGATTGATGAAGCATCTTGGACATCAGTGGAAGAGCTTGGAGAGAGGGAGAGCGAAAGGCAGGCACAGAAAGGACGAGTCTGCCAAAAACTCTCCTGTCTGCTTCCCCCTTTCTATAAGCAACAGAACCAGGGACTTTTCCAGATTTCCTCCTTCTTCCTGCCTTTTCCTAACTATACCATCTTTTCCTGCTGGCCCCTTTTTGTGTTGACTTTCTTAGGCACCTTATTTGGTTCCTTTCCAAGATCCCATTGATTTTGTATTGTTACAATTTCCTTATTCAACACCGACATCCTTGTTGCTTTCCAATGACCTCCACTTCAACATGGTGAGATACAAGCAGTAAAAGCAAATTATAAAAAATGGCTGTTTCCTCCAAGTAAAGTAAAATAAGAGGAAATAGGCAAAAATCTGAAATCAGAGTCCACCACAAACAGCAATGATGTTCTGCTCTGCTTTCCACCTTGTTGGCATCACTTACAGACAGAAATGACGGTATGTACACTACAGAGCTCTACAATTCTGCGTCTAATTGCAGTGTTTTCAATGCCATATTTACCCAAAATGAGGTGAGAGTCTGTATTCTCCATGAGAAAGTTAAGATGTTAATAACTGGCATAATTAGTTGCCTAAATTAGAGATCTTCCACGCTGAGCCTGGGGCCCCTCCCCAAGAGTATCCCCACATTGGGTGACTCTGAAGGCGCTCCCAAGCCTTGCCGCCAGCCACTTCAGCTGAGTGCGCTGTTTCTATTAAGGGCACCAAAAGACATTTTAAAGGAGACTGTCATATCAGGAGTGATATTTAAAATATTAATAACTGGTGTCGCACAGGTCCCAACCAGTCAGAATATACACAGGCAGTCAGTGGCCACTATGGTTGTATTCATTCCTGCTGGCTGAATATCATCCCAGATTACAGCTTTGCTGATGTCAAACTCTGAGATTAGGAAATGAGCCCCTAAACATTCATTAATTTATCGTACGTATGTTCTGTGAAAGGTACTATATTACAAATGATGGAAGATGCAGAACTAATTAAGATAAGATATCCTTAGTTATAAGACCCTTGTGTCTTGTAGGAAAGATAAGAAAGTATAGAAATACTGCAGAGTGAGGCAGATGATAATAGGTACTATACAAAAGGTGTTAATAGCATATTATGTGAGTTCAGAGAATGGAAATATCATGACTTAATGGATATATCAGAAAAAAAAACACAAAAAACACGGAGAAAAGGCCTGGAAGGATGAGAATGGAAATCAGCAGTAGGAGTTGGAGGTGGGGATAGTAAGCATTTCAGTTGAATGAAATGTCCTTAAGAAAAATAGAGGTAAGAAAACACAAGTATTTTGGGAGAATAGCAAATAGTACAGCTAATGGTTCTATAAAGTATAAAAGTTTGGAGATAATTCTGGAAAAGGAGGTTGGTGCCACATCCTAGAGTGCTTGAATAAGATGCTAAGGTGGCAGCATATAAATCTGTAGGCAATGACGATATACTGAAGGCTTTTAAGCAGTGGAGGAGCATGATCAAAGCTATATATTAAGACATGTCATCTATAGAAGTGTGAGCAATGAATGGGGATAATACTGTCATATTCTTAGTCAAAGGAAATAATGTAGAGGAAGATGAGTAACCACGAGTCCAGGATGAGTATAGGCTTTTGAGTGTGATTAGTTGGGAGGACAGGTGGGCTACAGGAGAAGACTGCTAGGATCAGGAAGATGGGTGCTGATGGAAGATGAATTCCTATTGGGGTAAGTGAAGCTATAGGAATAGATAGTATTCATTCAACAATGTGCAGTTCGGGTGACTGCCTCCTGGGTGTCATACACTGGGTTAGGTACTAAGGATGCAGCACCAAATAGGCCACTGCCTCAAGGAATTTGGATACTGCTTGGGAAAACATGAATGTAAGGCATGTGATACAGTTGCGACACAATCTAATTGCAACACAATGCGCGTAATGAGATAGGAATTGTATGCTTGGGCAGGAGTTAGAGTACCTGCCCCATTCCCTCACCTCTCAAGAGCCTCTGCAGCCTAGAATGTGGACTGTGCTTGCTGGAAACTTAGTGGGTAAAAGGATCATCTCAATTTTCCTTAATAACCTACTGTGGATGTATCATCTATGAATTTGCTAAATCTTTCTGTACCTTCTTTGTTACAGCCTTTGTTAGCACTTCAGGTACTAAGTTCCATGTGTTTACAATCGGCTTTGTAAAGTATTGCCCATCAGTATTTCTGACTTTGTCTTTATAAGATCAAAGGTAAGCTTTGGAGGGTAAAACACACACACACACACACACACACACACACACACACACACAGAAAAACCTTGCAGAAGTGAAAAGCACATTTAAATATCAATACACAATGTCGCCTCTGTTATATTACTGAACAGCTATCAGTACTTAGCACTTGCTTCCCCTGCTTTAACCAACTTGACTTCTTCATTTTTTGCCCACTGTAAGTATATATAAACAGCAATAGGTAGATGTCTAACTTAGCTATTCTAGCTGTGACTAGATTTTGATATATAGTTCTAGGCATTAAACAAACACACAAGAGAAGCATTAGAAAGAAATGAAACCAGGAAACAGAATAAATGTAATTTGGTTTTAGAACCACACAGGGCAACCAAGAAAACGAAATTTGAAAAACCGGAAGAAACTCAGGAGACACATGATCCTAGTTTTATGGATCAGCAAGATAACAGTATAAATGAGAAGGTGTAATTTACCATTTGAGGACAGATAGGGGACAAGAAACAATGGTATTCAACAGAGAACAAAAACAAACTCTAAGTATTAGGGAAAACATCTTTGCAGCAAAACAAAGCACACATTTTCCTAGGCCTCTCTATCTCGCAGCAATAACAAAACACAGATTGTCCTGGATCTTGTCTCCACGGACCTGTTCAGGACCTCAGCTGCCTATAGAGGGGTTCTCAGGGGGCATTTCACAAACACAGTTACCCACCCCTGTTCCTCCACCTTTGCCTATAATACCAGGCTTTTCCGCACCTGCTGTGAGCTGGCATGGTCATGCCTTCACAGTGCCAGAGCTTGACAGTGGTC